ATGCTAGTTTCCTTAACAAAACTACTAATTACTATTTTAACCTTCTCAAAGGCTACGCTTTATACTATCGCCATTAAGCTACTTCTAAATCCAATTTACCGATTCGTTCGTAAATTACGATTTTGTTCAAAGTGTTATATTTTAATTTCATAGAAATATATAATTCTGGAAATGTTTGGATCAATGCTTTATTAGAGCCGGGTTTTATTACAGTTGTGTTATCTTTAAAAATATAACATTTATCGATTTGTTTTCAAATTTCTATCTTATTCGTGTCATTCTGTAAATCTAGACATTTTTAAGTTAATCTCTCATTAAACAGACAGATTTTTCATTATCACAGATATGTTGCTTACAAATCGAATTTATCTTATTTTTAGATTTCTATTTTGTTTACGTCATACTATAAATTTGTTGAGATTTATAAGTTGAGAAATTTTTCTTCTATTGAACAGATGGGTGTATTCTCGAATCTACATAAAAGAGACGCATAAATCTTTTTAGTAATAATATAATGTTCCGAAATCTATTTTATGAAACATGTAAAAGAAACTGACCGGGAGAATCGGATAAAAGTTCGGCAATGTAAGACAATTCATCAAATTTATGAAATATAGTAACTGTTATTCAGGCATAAAATGTGAAAAGTTCAATTTTCACCAAAATCTAACATTTATAGGCTGAAATTTGTAAATTCAGAATAAATTACAAATAGAATACTTACCACGAAAAAGTAATATATAAAGTTGAAATAATTTCCATAGCGGAGTTAGCAATACACGATAAAAATGCAGATTATTACAAATTAAACTCGCAATCTACGCGTACTTGTCCGACGGAAATCAATTAAGGTAAGGGAAAAACGAAAGCCTCGTGCAACACTTAACTAAACGCAGCGAAAGCAGAAATCAGCGTTGAATTGGCCATGAAATCCCGCATTAATCGTCAAGCGGTGTTGTTGACATCGTAATTAGTCGAATCGGCGTTATACCTTCGCTTCTTGCACGACATCGAAAAATTGTTTTCCGATAGCGGTGCAGCATCCTCGCTGACATTACGATATGACTTCGACGTGAGGTTATCAGAAGCTATTCGATTTTCCTCTACGTTTAAAGTGTATTTTAATATTCAATTTTATCTCGATCGATGCTGGTTAGAATTGTTTTTTTTTTTTTTTTTTTTTTTTTTTTTTTTTTTTTTTTTTTGAAATTACAATCAATTCTCGCGTTGAGAATTTTCATTTTTTTTTTTTTTTTTTTTTTTTTTTTTTTTTTTTTTTTTTTTTTTTTTTTTTTTTTTTTTTTTTTTTTTTTTTTTTTTTTTTTTTTTTTTTTTTTTTTTTTTTTTTTTTTTTTTTTTTTTTTTTTTTTTTTTTTTTTTTTTTTTTTTTTTTTTTTTTTTTTTTTTTTTTTTTTTTTTTTTTTTTTTTTTTTTTTTTTTTTTTTTTTTTTTTTTTTTTTTTTTTTTTTTTTTTTTTTTTTTTTTTTTTTTTTTTTTTTTTTTTTTTTTTTTTTTTTTTTTTTTTTTTTGATAAAATGTCATTCAAGACGTAATTAAAGTAATTTAACGTAACCTGATAAAATAATTTCAAATATATGATGCGATAATTATTATAATAATGTAGTATACAGGGTGGGTCATATAAATATAACTCACCTCGTAATTATTCCGGGACTTTAGCAAGAATTATAATAAACGAATGTTATGCAATTAAAAACGGACCGTTCTATGCGATCTTCTCGTGTCTCTTTCCTTGTTATCATTTTTCATTTCCAAGTCATTTTCAATTACGATAAGCGGCAGCTAAATTTTGTTCATAACAAAACTTATGGAATTAACATACTTGATGAATTGAAGCTTCAAATTACATATTTTAACAAGTACACATTTTAAGATTTAGAAATCGTTTAGGTACTTCTCCCTATTTAACTCCTTTCAAATTTCTTCTTTCTACGGAATCATGTAAAACGTGCAGCTTATAAAGCGCAAACCTGGTTAGTCGTGAGAATATGCGTCAAAGACTCATTAGTGCTTGTGATAAAGGCAGAGGCATTTGCTTTTTATAAAATGTGATATAGAAAAGAACATTTCCCAAGAAAAAATTAGAGAATCAATTAACGTTCAAAGAAAACATTTTGGATATTTTTTATAAAATATTACAATATGAATAAGCGAATATACTACAGACGTCGTTGATGGAAAATAGAAATAGAAAGCAATACTTTTCTGTTTTTACTGTTAGGGCATGAATTCCCTAAACAATAATTATATACATATCTGCAGTATAATTTAGATTTCGGTGCGTTGGCGTGTTCACCGTGTAAAAATCATAAACCATTAAACGGAACTTTCGTTATAATTCATACAAGGTTTATACGTACGTAAAATTTTACAACATAGAGTTTGCGCGAAAAGTTACGTCGTTAACGTATACCAGAAATAATGAAAATTCGAACGACAGTAATAATATTAATTAATAGAATTTCTTTCGAGATCGTTTATTATGCTCATCGTACATGTATTACAACGCATAATCACATTCATTGTCAGACGAACTAATAAAATTATCAAATTTCGATGGAAGACAAGTTCATTTACTAAAACTTGCATAATATGCGAGCATGCAACCTGCATCATGTCTATCTTAAATCTATCACGAACTTCAAATTTTCATATTCTAAATATGAAGTTCATATTCACTTTCGTTCCAACAAACGAAAAGAGGCAAACATTTGATATATCAATATTGGTTAATATAGCATATTGGTATATATATACACGCCCCTATGGACCGCATGATAGTCAACTGAGGTCAAAGGTGAAGGTGATTTTGATCAGGGACAGAGTTTATTTCTGACGACGAGGAGACGCTACGTTGCTACGTTGGTTGTTATCTGTGCCTCCTCAAAAGATCACACCAAAATCTGAAATTTGTTTAGGTTAGATTAGAAGTTAATTAAAAATTATTTTCATATCCATACAAGGCCCCAGTTTTTGGCCTTTAGTCTGCAAATAATCATAAAATGCATTTTAACAGCTTTTGCTGATTTTTTAAAAACTTCATTTAAGGATGCTATCGGCTTATTTTCGTCCGATGATTAATTTCTCTCAACACGTCTCCTCTTTATATAAGTCTCTGTAGAACATGTATGTTTATGCTGATATATCAAACAAATTCTCGAAAAAGATTTTCAATGTCTTAGGAAAAACGAATACGGTAGAGTTGAAAATAATCAAATTTGTCGTCTTCGATGAAGAACATTGTTATCGAAGTTGCCCAATGAATTCTAATCCTTCGATCGTTTGCAAATTACGAGAGCTTCAAACCCACATCAATCGAAGTCATACACCGGCTACGATAGAATTAATGTTTGTTTACAGAGACAATGTAAATAGTACTTCTAATCAACGAGATATTTATTTTCACAGGTGTAATTTGAACTTTTCTGGACACAGAAGACTATTAATGGAATTCAATGTATACATAATCAGAGATAATGTAGATATAAATTAATTGAAAATCGAATAATAAAACGACAAAATAAGTATAGGAAGAGATTCTAAAGCCATGATAATAGAAAAAAGAAAGAATTTCCTCATTTCCAGGAGATTCTTGCTACAAATAAAAGAAAAATTCTTAATATTTTCTTCTTCTCTTAATAGTATCTCATTTATGCTTAACAAATTAATTAAAAGCATTATCCACCCTTTTATTACACAACTCTCTTTTGATTCTTTACATTAATAAACTTTGAAATGTTACTAGCTTAATATATCCAATATATTAGAATATATAATACAAAATTATCTGATAAAAACTTTATACAAGAAAAGAATTATTATAACAATAATAATTAATCTTCGTTATACTCGGACTAAACGAAAATATGAACAATGCAATTCGTGTTATGTGAATAAATGTTTAAAAGCATCTCGTTGGAAGGAAAATTAGCCGGAAGGAAGGAAAGCTTTCTTTTGCTAATATCCCGATTCAACGTTGTTACAAGGTCGTTACGAAGATATTAGCTATCAATTCAAACTTAGGTGTAAGATTTTTTCCAAGATAAGAATTCTGTTACGCGTACATTTATCAGCATGAAAACTTTCTTATATCAAACAGTGCAAAAAGAATAGAAAGTCGTGTAATAAAAAGGAAAAGGAAATTAAAAAGATTCGTATACGTATCTACAATTTTATAAAACAACTGTAATCTTTCTTTATCAAAAAGATTTATACAGTTCTTGTCTATACAAATATGCATTCTTTCCTTGTTATAAACGTCGTATATCGAAATGTATGCTGGATACGGTTCCTGTGGGCAGATTCCCTTGCGTAAATTTAAATAGAAGCAATATCCACCTTCGATGGATATATCACCATACGATTTTCATGTTTGCCCGGATAATGGAAAGCATGGCTGAGAATTATTCTAACACGGATGATAAAGTGAAAGATGCCACGTCAAAATGACGTTAAGAAATCGGATGCAAATACTCCAAAAGCGCAATTCACAAATTAGCTTCTTGTTACGATAAACGTTAGCATATGCTGAGGAACTACGTTAGTTACTTAAAAATGTAACGATCGAATGTAAGGTTACTGTTATACCGCGATATTAGGGTCGAGAAAGGTGAAGATTGCTCGTAAAAAATCGACGATATTTTCTAGGAAAGTGGTCCGGGATCCGAATACAGCGGGTCAGGGTAACGAAGACGAAGATCGAAAACACGGTTTTCACACGTACATTTTGAACAACTCAAAGAACTCGGTGCTTGACGAACAAGTTATACGCTGCACGTGTCTGATAAATATGAGTTACATGATGTTCGATGATTTATGAATGACGAACTCTTTCCAGCGGTCACGCGATGGTTTTCATATTGGTCTTTGGTGTGTATTTTGGGACAGCGGATAGCAACGCTAGTAAAGTTTTACTAGCCTTGCGAAATATTATTTAAGGCAACGCTTTAAAACGAGGCTAGAAACGTGCAAATGCTGATATTGCGATATGAAGTGTTCCTAAGTCAATGATATTTCTAGGCCATACATATTATTACGTTACGATAAGAAACACTTTTTTTTTAGCTATTCATAAGTTTTTTAGACGAAAGCAGTAACTTGCTTATTCACTGACCTATGTACTACGTGGCTCATGGAAATATCTTGGAAACTTTTACGTACATAATTGTGTGTGTTATACGTAATATTTTGAAATTTCATTAGCGTCGTAAGAAGACGCCGGTATCATGATTACATCGATAAAATTTGAAACTAATCTGAGAATGTATGTTACAGTTACAAAATATTTATTGCAAGTACAGGATGTAACAGAACATGTGGCAGCCACTCAGGGAACTGATTGCACACCAATGAAAACAATGAAAGAATTTTATATAAACATAGAATCTATTGTGTACGGAATACCTATTAAAAATGTTGATATATTCAGAATGGAACAAGTTTTTCAACATCAGGAATCATTCAAAGTTTAACCGGATTCATGATAAGAAGTTTACAGCCTTGCCTTGAAATGCGAGTTGGTAACTTTGAGCATCTTCTTTTAAGGTAATTGCATAACACAAGATCAAAACGTAAAATTCATTGTATCTCACAAACGAAGATAGATAGAAGAGGTTTCTAGCAACTTTCTTCGTTGTTTTCAGGCGTAAAATGGGTCCTGCATGTTCTGTCACGTCCTGCATATATTTAATGAAAACTTAGTTTGCAACACGAATAGTCACTTTAAACGTATAATTAGTGTTAAAGATCAGCCCATTGAATACTAAGTCTTATTAACTAGAATATTAAATATTTCGTTTCATTTGCGACGTATGCGAAGCATATACTCGCACCAAACATTTTGTAATTTCAATGTACATGTTTAAATTTGTTTCAAATTTTATGAGTATAATTATGATGGCGGAGTCTCATTACAGTGATAATAAAATTTCGAAATATTTCATATAACACACGTGATCTCTTCATTAAAAGTTTCTACAGGCGTGTTTAAATACTTTAGTGAGCAACAGTAAATATATATGGGATATTTATCACTTCACAGGTGAAAGGAATTAATAAACAAAAGTTTTATTTAACAAAGTTCTGTTTTTACCTGGTATACATATGTATCTAAGCCAAGCACGAGCCGATGAGAAGAACTTCTGATACCAACTACCGAACAAATACACCTACTTACGTATGTGCATACAGTGTAGGGGAAGTTCAGTCTGGGATTTAGATCAAATCGTCGATCTCCAAGGAAGTTGGAATTAAATTCCGGAAAGTCACAAGTCTCGTACGTTTTCCTCTTATCTACGCTAGATCTGTCTACCACTGAAAAGTATAACACAAGGTAAGAAGTTTCTTTTATCGAATCATCCGCTGTCTGGCACAAACGTTCCAGAGAGGGAAGGCGATAACTATTCTCAGAGTGAACTTCCCTTTTATCAAACATTCGCAAGCGTACTTTTATCCATTGCTCTGAATATTCCTGTGTCAACTTAGAGATATCTCTCTTACGAACAAAGAGTAGGTACAGACGTGGCAAAAAAGTAAGAAACTGTCTTCCGCTTCTGTTCGGAGGAAGATTTTCATACGGATATAAAATAAATTGCTATTCGGGTTGAATTGACACGAGAACTTTTTATATTCTTATTTCAGATGTCTTCGAGCTTTTATCTCAAACATTCCCTCCGTAGTTTCATACGTTTGGATATTCGAACATTGGCTTAGAAATATCTGTTTCGAAGAAGGAAGATAAACGCAAAAGATAGTAAATGTCCTTCTGGTTCTATTTACAGTCGTTACATTACGATGCACAAGTCTACGTACTATACATGTATAGCGATATAAATTATTATAATGAAAACGTCAACTCTGCGAATTTTGTGAAGACGTTACGACATAAATAACAGAGAAGTAAAAAAAATATAAAATACAGAAATTACATACACCTGTTAACATATACATGAGACGATAAATGTTAATTATATTTGATAAAATGTTAGCGCAATATACTAGAATATAACAATATATTTCATTATAATTAATATAATTAGAGTACTTACATTACATCACGTGTACTTATATAAGCATGATTTAAGTACTGCGTGAGCGTAAGTATCTCCTTGGTGTTCGAGAAATTAAGTTTGCAATTTCAGATGTAATTTTTTACAAGCTTTTTACAAGTTCAATTCCTCTTAAAAATATATCAATGATAATTGTATTGACAGGCAGGTGATAAATAATTTTCTGACCAAGTACGTTTCTTGTTTCTATGATAAGTCAGATACAGAAAATTCGACAGATGTACGTGTAGACTTTCGTGACTAACTGTATATATGGTAAAATTCTGGAGAACCTGTGCAATTATTTATGATTCACGTAAAATAGACACGAGGTCTTTTTCTATTGATATATCAGCGAACTAATGCTACACTGGCCGACATAGATTACGTTTGTTAACTCGATACGAAACTTGGACTTCCCTACATTCTATGAAGGATGAAAAAGAATTTTCGCTCGGCTATCGAGCTCTTTACAGTCTCCACCCCTCCCGGGCTATCGATTTCTCTTTAAAATGCAAGAGTACGCTGTATCGGTCGATAATAAACGCGAGTGGAGTGCTTTGAATCACACCAGGGATGGGAAAGCGCGGAAGATGGAATGCAAACAATCTTATTGCCTGAAATTTTAATAGAGAAATTTCCATTACTGCAACGCCCGACTCACCTAAAGTGGTCCCAGGAAAGGCACTGCCAAGCATGGGGACGGTAGTTCGTTCTGAAAGCAAATAAAAAGAAAATGTCTAGTAATAATTCATTCTTCTAGTTCTCTGCTATGAGAGACAACACGCTTCTGTTAATACGTGAATTCTTCGAAATTATTTATCTTCGCCCTCGCATTAACGCCTGGAAAATATCGCTTCTTGTTGTAAAATACGTTTGCTTTCCTCTTTACTTTTTATTCCTTTTTTCTTTTGCGCTGTCGACCGTGCTTATGGTTTTTGCGCATTTAGAGACAAATAAAGAAAATCGGTTGGTTCGAGTGACATATTTAATTTACAATACGAAATGGAAGATAAATGTAGCATCCTCTTTAAATACAGCAGCTATGAACATGATTTGCACGTGTTTTGGTATCCAAAAATACTGCGAATCAATTTCACTGCGAAGACAATTTCTCATTGTCAGTTTTATTTATATCGCACCTTCTGTTAGTTTTGTTGTTAATTCGTAAATTATTATTATTTACCATCATAAATAGTTATTTTCTCTTTATTTATTTGTTTATTTAGGGCTATTAATAATGGTTAGATAGTAAGTTTTCTAAGGTACGAGAAACCTAAAAAGACGTATTTCTTAAATTTTGATTTCGATGGAGCACGTAGTGATTTCGAACTTTTGACCAGTAGTATACATATAATTAAAAATTAATAAAATTATTAATTATTCATATATATACGTATTACATTGTATAAAACTTGTTATTTGTCAAAGAGATACGTTTATACTTATATAAATAACTAGCTATGAAAATAATTAATTACAACACATATAAATGTGCAACTATTTTTCATATTCACTATAGCTATGTGTAACAAATACATAAAAATATAGCGAGTTTTAAACATTAATCAAAATTCACGCTTCTATATTCTCTTATGATTTTCGAAATTAATAACTAAATAAGGCGTCAAAAATTATGATCGTTGAACTTACCATTGATACAAATTTTAGAATGTTCTTTCGTCTTTGTTATAGAAAAAGAAAACGCTTTGAGTAATTTCTAAGATATATGCTAATAAAGTTACTGGATCACTGGTATTGGAATCACGTATGAATATGCAAAAGTTTCTTCAACAAACACGATACATAACATACACACATATATATATATATATATTTTATCGAACAGTAGGGTAGTAGTGTTCGATTCGAAAGTCATTTGAATACTACAATCGAATGTGTGCTCAAGAGATTTCAAAAACTAACTTTCTGTAAGGAAAGAGATACTTTGTGCAGAGGAATTTCATCTTGTTGCTTTATAATTTATTTCTCGCATAAAAATATCTCCCTCGTTTGTTTAAATTATGCTTCTTTAAGCTATGTTACGAATGAGATATAACGGTCAATATGAAATACATGTTGCTAATATATTTATATTTTCATAGAATATAATTTCAGATATTCCTGAATTCATTATGGTAGAAAACAAGGGAAAAATTCATTGGTATTTTTTATTTAAGACTTACTGTAACATCATCTTAATTCTAAGGTAATCTACTCCTACTTAATCCCTCTCTTGAAGGGATAAAATGGAGAGATTTCCTCCATTTCCTTACAGGAAATGACACACAAACGTTTGCCTTTTTAAGTGGATTTTACCCAACCAATTATTGATTAATGGATTACATACAACCAGGGAAAGCTTTCTTTCCATTCTATATAATTAATTTCCGAACTACCTTTTAAAAGGTTTCGTTTAACCTTTATACGCATTTTTCAACCCTCTTTTATACTTTAGAGAATAAAATTAGTATGTGTAATATACCATCTTTTAGATATTTCTAAATATTATTTTACGTTAATTTACTTTCAGAAGAATTAAGTCAATGGCTGGCTTTGTACAATAAAAATGTTTTAGTCAGAAAATTTTTCGGATCTTTCTCCAAAACTCATAGCAGTAATAAAAATTGAACGCGAACGTAAGCGATACAATTTGTTTACAAAGTACACACGAAGAGATATATTAGCTTGTAGAAAAATACTTTTCGTTGTGTAAGGAAAATATTCCATAAACGTATTATGTCGCTATAATGCTATTTCGGGTCAAAATCACATATCTAGGCTGTGAAGATTTATGAAAATTCAGATTTTTATGACTAAAGCTAAAGTTAAATGCAAAGTACAAAGCACGAGCTACGAGTAAAATTAAAGAAATGGAAGCCAAAGACAAATTCGTTATTCTTATAGATATTACGACAAATACATCGAACATCTTGTACATTGTAAAATATCGTATACATTCTACATATTCTTCAACACTACTCTAGCAACTCGAATGAATACTCTGAACACTCGAACCGTAGTCTAATAACAAATCTTGATTCAAAACCTGCATGAAGCAACTTTTCATAGAATGACCTAACCGTGACGCAGAATTTTCACAAATTTCCCTTCTCTCTGCCTCCATTCGGTTTTCAATATCCGACATAATGTTTCGTCGTAAACAATGCGTAGCAATTATTCGCAATTAACGGGGATTTTCAAACTGCAGCTCTAGCCTCGATTACACACACTGGCGCGATATATATCTAGTAATTGCATGCATTTTCAAAAGCACGTATTATTAAAATCGGTTATTCTTATGGAACAGAAACACGATTTGTACGAGCACGGGCTGCGTGTATAAAGTGCAAACCACAATAACGCGGTCGCGTAGAACGAAAATGAAAAACGCGGTAACGAGCACGAGGCAGAAATAAAAAAAAAAACGAGGGAAACGCGAATAAATTCCTTCGGTAAAGCGTTTCACGTAATGGCATTAACTATTTCATGTTTTATGGAGATTTTTATAATTCATCGGAGGGTACAATGCGCGACATCAACAGCTGCGATATTTCGAGCATTAAAACTTCACGCTGCGTGCATCGATTCACGTTTCCGCGAATCGGCCGCGCAAGGGAAAATCGGATTGCGATTCACGTTCAAGCTTGAAAGCACTTGCACGATTATTATACCGTTGACCGAGTTTTCCTTTACTGCCTGTCTTTTTGGTATTCGTGCGACGACACAAAGTATAATTATTAGATTGGGCATGCTTATATAAATTCATGTTTTTATCAATACAACTAAAGAGACAGTATATAAACAGAGACCTATTTCATTCACTAAATATTGCAGCGAGTACATTTGTATATTTTTATTGGTATTTTTATCGTTATATTTTTTGACCTATGTTACTTTCGTTTTTCATTTTTTATATTTTTTTAGTTCGTGTACATTTTGCATATTTATGCAACTTTAAATTTCCTATGTAAGCATGAACATCAGCAGTTTGAAAATTTACATTTTTATTGGATGAGTTAAAGAAAGAATAAAATGATTTCAATGGTTTTATACTACTGTTTACATAAAAATTTCACATACGGTTCTTTTTTGTTCTGTGTATGTTTTTAATAAATAACACCGTTAGCACCATTCTCTTAATGAAAATTTCTATTGATAATTCATATTCAACGAACTCTATTAATAATCTTTAACCCTTAAGTAGTATTACTTGTTTTAACCCCCATGTTCTATATTTAAGGCTTCGTATTTTCTCTTTATATTTCTACACTTTCTTTAACGATCTTTCCATGTTCTTGTTAAAACAAGGAAAAATTGCTCCAGATGCATATTCTTGAAAAGTGTATGCGTTTATAACATTCATAAAATCAAATATTTAAGTATTCAAATTATACGCTTTTATTTGTTTGCTCATACACTTTATATCAATAAACAATTATTAATTAAAGCTTTATTAATCTTTTTTATTAATTTAATTAATTAGCATTAATTAAAGCTCTTGCTCTATGTAATTCTTTCGTAAAGTTCCTGTTTATAATTTATCTAACTACAATCTATATATTTCGTATGGTTATCCGGGTATTAAACGAGCGTATAAATTTTAAAGTTGCAAAATTTTTTACTTTCTGCGTATATAAATATTTTTAAAACAGAGATCGATATAAATGTACGAGCTTCAAAAAATGAGAATGATATTTTGATACTTTTATAACAGAAGGTATTGTCAAATATAACACGTAAATAAAAATAAAAATAAGTAAAATGTAAATTGTTAAATATAAATATAGAAGTTGATAGTTGATTGTGAGTACAAGAATTAATTTAAATTGGAAGAAAGGAATATTCAACTGGAATATTTTATTCATTATTTTCGAAAATCAACTTTTCCATTTATCAGTATTGCTACTGACGTGAACAATACAATTTTTTTTTATTATTTAATTTGCACTTTACAATTTGTCCAGTTTGGTAAATTTTGCTAACTTAATAACAATACAAATGAGTACAATATCGAAGTCACGTAGTACTATAACATATCAACCATTTGGATCTTCAAAACTTTATCCAATGCAATACCATACAAATATAACTTAATCGTTTTATTGAATATTCATGCTTCGAATAATCTTTAACATAAATTGCTTTTCGTCTTAAAACCAAACTTGTACACAGAATAGTTCCAAGTACACCTACGTACATCTATGTAAGCTAATTGCGTTAACTTCATTGTGTCATAATTCTATTCACAAACGTATGGAATATTTCAATTATTTAACATTTAATATATATTTTCCTAATAGCGTTCAACACATATCTCTTATAAAAAAATGGTTAGTTAGAAAACGAACTTATCGTTTACACTAATCGTTGACATCAGTAGTATCTGTATCGTAATTTAAATTCGAGAAATTAACAATCTATTTCACTTCATCGGATGCTACGCTGTGCGTTCATGACCAACATAAACCTCTTATCTATGTCGTTTTGTTCCAGGAATAAAGGTAGAAGTAGAAAAATAGGAAAATCATGTTAGCTCCGCTGATCTCCTTCTGGCCGTTATAACAATGACACCTGGGTAAGAACAAAGTCGTATCAGTCAGAACTGTCTAAACTTTACTCGCGAGTTAAATGCTTTTCTTTCATCCCCACGAATGACTTTTTATTTCAGAATGGAAATGGAGAAAAAGCGGGAAAGGTCACGTTAATCGTGTT